GGGGGGGGNGAAAAAAAAAGGCACATACCATCAAATAGTTGATCGGGATGCAACCCACTCCTCTCAGCCAGCCCTCCATGTACGACAAGCCAATGTTCAGGTTCTTCCGGATGCCGTCCTCGGTGATGGAGCCCGGCACGTTCGTGTTCAGCAGGTCGTTCGCCGTGACGTGCACGTCCTCGCGCCGGTTGAACAGCTGGTTCGGCGTCGGCATGTACTTGTTGAAGATCTCGGCCGCAATCGGCGCCAGGGCCGGGTGCGCAACCCAGGTGCCGTCGTGGCCGGCGCGCACCTCCCGCAGCTTGTCGGCGCGCACCTTCTCCATGGCCTCTTCGTTGGCCTTGGGGTCGTCCTTGATGGGGATCTGCGCAGCCATACCGCCCTGCACGAGTCAGCAAGACCCTCGAGCCTAGCCATGCGGACTACTTACCATCGCGTGGACACCCCGGCGGTGGCAGGTCTTGATCAGCAGCCGGACGTACGCATCCATGAACGGCACCGTCATCGTCACGTCCTGCCGGTCAGGCAGCACAAAGTTGGGGTTGTTGCGGAACTTCTTGATGAAGGAGAAGATGTAGTCCCAGCGGCCGCAGTTGAGACCGGAGCTGTGCTCGCGCAGTTCGTAGATGATCTAGCAAGTTAGCCATCTTTCTTCTGGTAGAAAAAGCCAGGGCGGCCTACTTCATCCATCTCAAAAGCAGCCGTGATCGTCTCAATCAGCACCGTCGCGCGGATCGTCCCCCGCGGCATGCCAATGTAGTCCTGGGCCAGGTTGAACACGTCGTTCCACAGCCGGGCCTCCAGGTGCGACTCCATCTTGGGCAGGTAGAAGTACGGCCCCGTGCCACGCTTGACCAGCTCGTGGGCGTTGTGGAAGAAGTACAGACCAAAGTCGAACAGACTGGCCGAGATGGGCTCGCCGTCGACGGTCAGGTGCTTCTCGTCGAGGTGCCAGCCTCGGGCGCGGGCGATCAGCGTCGGCAGCTTGCGGTCCGTCCGCAGCTTGTACTCCTTGTTGCCCTGCTTGAAATCGATCTGGCGCCGGATGGCGTCGTACAGGTTGATCTGGCCGTTGATCATGTTTTCCCAGGTGGGCGCGCTCGAATCTAGTCTCGTTAGCAGTGTCGTTTTTTTGCTCCTGCCGGCCAGCGCTCACCCTCAAAGTCCGCCATATAGGTCCAGGCATCCGAGTTCAAGGCATTGACGACCATCTTGCGGTCCGTCGGGCCGGTGATCTCGACACGGCGGTCGACCAGACCCGGGGCCGGGGGCGCACCCCTCCAGGTGTCGTCCTCACGGATGTGCTTGGTCTCGGGCAGGAAGTCGAGCAGGTGGCCGCGGTCGATCTCGGCCTGGCGCTCGACGCGGCGCTGCAGCAGGGCCTTGCGGGTGCCATTGAAGGTGCGGTGCAGGAGGGCCAGGAAGGCGACGGCCTCCTTGGTGAGGATCTTGCGGGCCTCGTTGCTGACGGGGCCGAGGACGGCGACGTCCTTGAGCTGCGCGTCGACAGAAGTCATGTCGTCAGAGTCTAAATCTATCTATCTATCGATGTCAGTTAGAGAGCTTTCTGGCTGTCTGATGGATTCACCCACGTGATCCTGGTCTTCCTGCAGCAGTTCGATATCAGCTCGAAGTGGTATTCGCAGAGGAAGTAGCAGAAGCGAAGACAGCAGGAGAGATCAAAGAAGAATCCAACAGACGCTGGCCATCTCCGCCCGGACGAGGGGAGCGAGAGCTGATATAGAGACGACGACGTCAGAAGCTCCGGTTACCGCGGTCCAAGCAGGGCCGTCCCGCAGCCAATCGAGCGGCTACCAGGGCCCTGGATGAGCGGAACTTGGAGAAGCTGATCGAGCAGGCAGGTGTCTCGGCCGAATTGTGTATTGTGTCCTGACGCCACTGATATGCTGATAAGCTACTCCGTATCTCCATGCTATCTCCTCTACTCCGTGCATGTCTCTATCTTGATAAACTCGACAGAAAACTTCATCACGATACACTCACGGCGATATCGCTGCCAGGCACGTCGTAGAGCTGGCTGTTGATGGCTTCACCATCTCCGCATCCTTCTATCAGTGTCGATGGCATCATAGCAGTCGTTCTCATCTTGTCTTCCAGCTGCTTTCTTTCTCCTTCCGGAGCTTCCCCGCAAGCCCGAACAGCCGCGGGAAGTGATGACATCACCGCCCACTCCGCGGAATAGTCACGTGCATACCGGCTTTTCCCGACGCTGCTGCAGCATGTGACGCTTAGCTAAGCAGCTGCCGGTAACTAACTAACTAGCGGAGGAGAATTGTATATTGACAAGTCAGAATGCGCAGAATACCAATGATTGATTGATATTGCTGGTTGGTCTGCTTTGCATAGTGCAAAGCCGTGGACGATCATAGTCACCTGCATATATACGGCGATGGAGCACAGCCTGCCCTATGCAACACGCCCGAGGCAATTCACATCCAAAATGCCGAGTTGATTGCTACACAATCCATGTCTCTCACAGACAAACAGTCCAATCAAAAGCACAGAATGGGTATATCGAATAGCGTCAGAAAACACCCGAGGTCGCACAGCTCCGTAAGCACGTGACACTCGTCGAGATGGCCACTGTGCAGCGGGTCATACAGTTTCGATGTAGCGTCTCACCTCCCTAGTCACGGATTCACCGTCAGTACCACTCAGCAAGAAAGAGAGAAAGCAGACTCACCAATCGGTCACGGCCTCCTGCCACAGACGCACTTCATGCTCGCGCGTGCCGCCAAAGTGGTCGACAAACTCGTCCCCAAACACCTCTCGCGCCACACTGCCTGGTCGCATAAACAGCTCCGTGGCGTCCTTGAGGTTCCTGGCCAGCCGCGCGCCCTGGTCGCTCGCGCTGCCCGTCTCCTCGCCCTTCCCCAGCGGCGGCACGGGGATCTCGAGCTTCTTTTCCACTCCGCGCCACCCGACCGCAATGATAGCCGCCAGCGCAAAATGCGGGTTGGCGTCCGCCCCGGGAACCCGCACCTCGAAGCGCGTCGCCTTGGCGCTGGACGTAGGCGGCGAGATCAGTCGGATGGAAGCCGCGCGATGTTCCAGACCCCACGAGACGGTGACCGGGGCCCAGAAATTCTCGACCAGCCGCTTGTACGAGTTGATCGTGGGCGCGAACAGCGGCATGATATCAGGCAGACCGGTCAGCAAGCCGGCCAGGAAGTGTCTCCCCAGATCCGACAGGTAAGCCAATTCCGGATACGGCGGCGAGGGATCCGGCGTGTCGCGGGCAAACAGATTCTTGCCCGTGTCCGACACGATCGACACGTGCATGTGGCCGCTGTTGCCAGGCAGTCCTTCGCGCGGCTTCGCCATGAAGGCCGGGGTGATCCCGTATTTGCTGCCCAGCGATTTGACAACATACCTAGACGACTGGTTAGTAAATCCAGAGAGGACGGACAGGGACAGATACAGACTTGAAGAGACCCGCGCGATCCGCCATCTCCTTGACCTCGCTGAATTGTAGAGCCTTGATACCGCCATAGTCAGGTTATGCCGCCAACATCAGGTCAATGCAACACCCACAGCCTCAAACACGCCCGGTCCGCTCTCCGTGTGCCACCCCTCGAGGTCACATCTGAACTTCTCGCACGCGTCGAAGATGCCGTAGTAGTACTCTTGGTTGTGCACTGGCCGCGTAATGCTGTAGCCAAACATGCCCTCCGTCAGCGGCGGAAGCGCTTCGACGGGATTGTTCTTGAGGAAGGAGGCGGTCGTCGAGGAGTTGCGCTCGTTGCTGTACGCGCTTTGAGGGGCCCGGAACTGGTAGAATTCGTACTCCGCTGTACACATGAGCTGGGGAACCGAGATTGATCTGTTATAAGTACATACCGCCCGCCATGGCCTTGTAACCGTGCTTTTCCAGCTTCGCGACGGCCGTCTTCAACAGGCCGCGCGGGCAAGCCGAGATAGGCGCCCGTGTCTCAGGATCGAAGAAGCTGACAAGGAAGAAGGGCACGTTGTCCTCCCAGGGGATGCGGCGAAAGCTGCGCAGGTCCGGGACGGCCAGCAGATCGCGGTAACCGTTCTGCTTGTTGCTGATGGCCAGCTCCTTGAAGTAGGTGCGGTCGTGCATGTCCCAGCCGAAGATGACGGAGCAGAAGCCGAAGCCGTCCTTGACGATGGATAGGAACTTCTTCTTGGAGACGAGCTTGCCGCGCAGGATGCCGTCGACGTCGAGGCCGGCGAGCTTGACCTTGTTGTCGTGCGCGAGGATCTGCGCGACATTGTCGAGCGTGACCTCGGGGTCAGACATGGTCAGTCAATTGTGCGTACGGTGGGCAGAAGGAGGAATGCGTAGAAGGAATGGAGGATCGTCCTGATACGGAGAGGCGGACAAGATGCGTGCAGGTCAGTTTATCAGGCTTATCGATCCATCGTGTCCTCTTTCTCCATCGGGATAGAGATTAGATAAGAGAGTTCCCCGCGGCCCCGCACAACAAACACCTGTTCTCCAGACAGTATAAGAGTAACAGCATCAAGAGAACCCCCTCATTGAACTTGCAGACAATCGATCGCTCTTGCAATCATTCAGCATGGCTACGCCTCCGCGAGGACGTCTGCAGGGCAAGAATGCCATCATCACGGGTGCCGCAGGGTGAGTGACACGTTGACCAGTTCAATGAGACGCCTGCTGACAAGCCTGCTACCACCAGAGGCATTGGCCTCGAGACGAGCATCCTCTTCGCCCGTGAAGGCGCCGCCGTCCTGATGGCCGACATCTCGGAGCCCGCGCTGGAGAAGGCCCTGGCCAAGGTGAAGGAGCTGGTGCCGGACGCCGTGCGCGTCGAGACCTTCCGCTGCGACGTCTCCAAGGAGGCGGACGTCAAGGCCCTGGTCGAGGCGCAGGACAGCTGGGGCGGCACCGACGTCATGTTCAACAACGCGGGCATCATGCACGCCGAGGATGCGGACGCCATCGACACGCCCGAGAAGATCTGGGACCTGACGCACAACATCAACGTCAAGGGCGTCTGGTACGGCTGCAAGCACGCCGTGCTCAGTCTGCGCCGCCACAAGAAGACCAAGGGCAGCATCATCAACACCGCCAGCGTCGTCGCCCTGGTGGGCAGCGCCACGCCGCAGCTGGCGTACACGGCCAGCAAGGGCGCCGTGCTGGCCCTGACGCGCGAGCTGGCCATTGTTCATGCTCGCGAGGGCTTCCGATTTAACGCGCTGTGCCCGGCCCCGTTGAAGTATGTCTCTCCCTGCTATCAATTAGATACCTTACTAACGTATATAGTACTCCCCTCCTCCAGGACTGGCTGGGCGACGACCAGGCCAAGCGCTTCCGCCGCGAAGTGCACTTCCCGACTGGCCGATTCGGCGAGGCCATCGAGCAGGCGCACGCGGTGGTCTTCCTGGCCAGCGACGAGAGCAGCTTCGTCAACGGGACGGACTTTGTGGTGGATGGAGGAATGACCAAGGTAAGTGACCAGGTGACGAAAGGTGGCTGTTATCAAGGCTGACCATGTAATCCAGGCATACGTCACTCCGGAAGGACCTGCGACGACACCGCCGCAGAACCTGGGTCGATGATTCTATAGAAAGTTAAGTTGCGTATGAGAATCATTCTCGTGCGTGGTATATCGTAGATTAGAAACCGTAATTACATTCTATTGCTCTTCTACCTATCTATAACGAATTAAACATCTATATCTATACCATCTAAATATAGTCTCGTAAGAAAGACCCAACTCCTACTCCAACTCTACCCAGCAAATCAACGAACACCTCTCAATCTCCTGTTCATTTTGGAATCCCCAACCTCGCCAAAAACCGCGTATACCCCAATTCCTCCCACCGCTGTCTATCACGCTCATCGCGGATCGCCACAAGACCCAACATGCCCACCGTACTGGTGCCAAACGGCCCATCGGCCGGGCCGGCCGTCGTGCGCGGGATGAGCGCGATCCACGAGCGCGACAGGGCGACATTGTAGTCTGCGTCCGGGCCGTTGCCCGCGTCGACATGCGCCTTTCGCGTCAGGGTGAGGAGGCGGTCGTGCATGGCGACGATAGTGTCAGCCGACGCGCCGGCGGGGATGCGCAGGACGAAATGCTTGAACGGCACGCCGGGGATGTCTGTCGCGACGACGTCGCTTGAGGACGCTTTCGCGGGCCAGAGCAGATCGACCGCTTCGCCGTCGCCGAATGGGTGCTGCGGCACGGGGAACAGCTGCAGGTGCTTGTGGCCCTGCGACGAGCCGCCGTTGACGCCGCGGTTGTAGATGACCAGCGGCGAGGGCAGCGAGGGGTAGGCGTGCAGCAGGGCCCACGACGCAGCGAGGTCGGTGGCGTCCAGGTCGTCGGATTGCAGGGCGAAGTCTTTCGTCGGCAGCACCAGCATCGGGCGGTAGAGACAGTACTTGTTCAGCATGAGGCGGTGGCGGGGGCCGACGGAGTCGAGGATGACTTCGTCGGGATGCGGGTTGAGGAAGGGGTTTGGCGATGGAGATGGAGATGGAGATGGAGATGCAGAGGCAGATCCAGACTTGCTGCCCCGGCCAGGATCGTCCGCAACGAGAACGGGCTTGCCTTTGAGGAAGGGGACGATGCGGAATTCGAACTGGTCATGTTAGCTCATATACATACCTAATAACAGGAGTAGAGTACACGAGTACAGTGATATCACCATTGCTACAGCACATGCAACTTGATAAAAAGAATTCCTTATATCGTACAGATATACATCAAACTACACAGAAGATTACTTTGAAGCAGACGTACCTGAAACCCCTCATGCACAACCAACTCGCCCGGTTCAGTGCGATGATCATAGTATATACGCCCTCGACGAACCATGTCATCGAACCGGGCGAATGTCTTCTCCTCAAGGTCTGGCGGGAGATCTATGCGAGTAGTGCTTGGATGCATGATGGCTGAATGAATGAATGAATGAATGAATGAATGAATGCAACTGACAGTCTTTAGACAGGTATTAATATTAATATTAGTATTAATACGATTATGCTAATTATCACACAGTATAAACAAACAGAAAAACGACCATGACAATTCGTAGATGTGCAGGTGCAGGGGATTCAATCAACAAAAGCCAGAATATTCGACTTTGTTTATCGTGGTCACCGCCTGTTAGGATGCAGGACACACTAAGGACCCTTAGGGAAGGGCATCGAGAGATGCCAAGACATGACCGATACAGACGGTATAGTACATCTAGAACTCTCAATTCTAATCCATAGACAGACAGACTCCAAACCAAATACTTTCTCAGACTTACCATGGCTGCTGCCTTGTCCAGCTCCATGGATCACAGTGGAACTTTCTTGCCTATGACTGTATGTACATACATACATACCTAATTTCAAGTAGGCATCAACACACATGTACTACCGTCAATGAGAACAATCCTCCGCAATATAACCATCCAATCTAGCTACTGGAAGAGGTACCACCATTTGTGTTTTGTACAGGAGGTGGAAAGAGTGTGTTCATTACCTAGTAGGTACTGATAACGAACTGGTAAACAGTGAAAATACTGAGTTGTCAATTACTTCTGCAAGGCGAGACTCCTTCAGCAGCCCGACAAGTAATGGCAAAAAGAACGAGCAGAGGCAGTAAAGCACGCAGGAAACTTTGACAAGGACTACGGGGTACAATAGGCAAGTACTCCGTAAGAGAGCTCGCAGCATCCTCTGAAAGTTGAAGTTGAGAGTGGGTGGTGACTCCTGCATATATGACGCAAGTCAAAAGGAAAATAAGAGAGACAGAGAGAAGAGAGAGAAGCAAAGCTCTTCATACATCCTAACCATGTACTCCGTAATTAATTTGTTCGTTATGTTGTAGATAGACACCTTAGGCATCAGAATCCACTATGTCCATACATATTACACACTCGGAAAAATAACAAGACACGAACGAACAAAATACAGACAAATTAAATACATGTTACCTTTGTAACATAACAAGGGCAATAAAAGGCACATGCACCACCCAAAAACAGAAACAAAAAAAAATCCAATTTTTGTAATAGTCCACAATTTTATAAATTGATCTGCTGATAATTTACTGTTGGATAAAAGTCATCATCAGCTACGTACGGACTGACTGTCATGTCGATAGTGAAAATGTCGTCATTGCTTTCAGATTTAGAGATACTAATAATAAAAAAAAGACAACTGCTACACCGAAAAAAAAATAACGAACCTTGAACACGCCCACAACCTGCTGGACTGACAACAACGGACAGACTGGCTGAAACGACTCGTCATGATCCACATCGATAAGCATACAACACCTCATTCAGATTAAGAGACGACAACAGACGTAATCCGGCCAAAAAAAAAGGAATATACCCGAACAAAAAATTGGAGAGACGAGAAGAGGACGCATCTGAACGAACCGAATCCACCGCAGACACCGGCAATCATAAAGCAGATCCCCATACAGAAACACTTGCAACACTCCCGCAATGCAGAAAATCATGACTCAGTTGACGCGGAATGCATCCAAGATGACTGTACAGAGTTAGCGCGAAATCCTATAGACTCTCGACAGTGGCGATGGTCTTACTTTCTTGGGCTCTACGGCAGCAGCTCCCAACCCACATCACCGAATTCACAAACGAATACCGCTCGTCGCCAGTTTCCATCGACATATTGATCCGATACTTGTACGTTGAGGGATTGATCGTGTCAGCCACGTTGGGGTCGTTCACTTTCTCCAGCACGTCTTTGGCCCCGGTCAGCCAGCCGTGGCCTTGACGGCAATATAACCCGGGTTCTCATCCCCCGTCTGAAGCATGAAGGTATAACTGACTTGGGTGGCCAACTCCTTGACCGTGAGCTCGGAAGATTGGCCTCCAGGCTGTGGAAAATCATCTAGTTAGCTGCTGCAAATGAACGTAAACCGACAGAGACCACCTACCAGGACAACTCCCTTGCCCCATCTGCCGGCCCACTGGCCACCCCGAACGAGATCCAATCTCGTTGGCCGACGTGAGTCTGGCCAACATTGACCTTCGGGTTGATCTTGAGACTCAACCGGAAATCCAGCTCCAGAGATGGCACTGGAATCTGCAGGGAACGGGCAATGTCACCCTCGGGGAAGGTGTGGAGAAGATTGTTGGCCGGGATAGAGTCCTTCATGACATTCAGGTAGGTTGGGCATTCCAGCAGGTGCTGACGCTGCCGGCTAGTGTTCTTCGCGCGGACCTGCTGGCAATAGATACATTGCACAGACAGGCACTGTCGCCCGTCAGCGACCCTCGCTCTGCTGGATACATTTGCTTCCTCCACACTCACCTTGTCTTCCTCCTTGGCACGGAATTCAACAAACGCAGCATGGACATCATCGAGCGGCGGCGCCGGGAGGTTCGAAGTGCTCTGTCGGTTCTTCGATTTGGTAGAACGCTGCTGGGTTACAGGGCCGGAGGACGTGCCGCTGGTACCTTGCGCAGCTCCTGGCGCGGGCAGCGACGGGCGGTTCTGCATGTTCTGCAGCGGGGCCTGGATGGGAGGGTTCACTCCGTTTGACATCATGGGCCCGTTAGGGTTCCCAATCGTCCCTGCTGCCGGCCCAGGGCCAGCTCCAGGCGCGGTGGCCGCAGGGCCATTTGGTGTTGCATTGTATCCGTTGGCGGGGCCGATGCCGTTCGGACCAGGCGCAGTGCCCTGCGGCTGAGGAGCGTTGGGGTGGCCGCGGAGGCCCGGACACTCGAGGAGATGCTGCTTCTGGCGGGAGGTGTTTTTGGCGCGAATCTGCTGGCAGTAGATGCACTGGACGGAGAGACACTGGAAGCACGAAAAGCGTGGATGTCAGTATCGGGGGTTTGGTGTTGGCCGTCTGGGTTTGTTATATTACCCAGATACAGGAAATACGGGTTTCACACAACGCACCTTATCGTCTTCCTTGGCGCGGAACTCGACGAACGCCGCGTGCACTTCCTGATCGACCGTGCGCCCCATGGTTGCGGTCGACGGCGGAAAATCCGGCAGAAACGAAGAAGGGAGAAGCTACAGCCGATACTGAGGCGGACGACGGCCGATCGAGAGACGAGAGCGATGGGGAGGGAGGATGGGAAGGTGATGGGGGGGAGCGAGGCAGCAGGCAAAAGGCGAGGAAAGAAAAGGGTCGGAGACGGAACGAGACGGGGACAAGACGAGACAGCGTCACGGCCGTCCTTACGCGAGCCGCGTCGGCGTAATTTTCCTCCAGCGAGTCACATGGCCAATCGCCGCCACCCCGGGGCGTACACGTTACACCTTAGCTTACACCTTACCGCGGACAGCTGAACAGCATTACAGCTCGCCCAGCTACGTCTCGTTCTCGTCTGCTGCGATGCCTCAGCTCGTCGACGACATGAAAAGAGAGCTCGATCATGCCCGTTGATTCGAATTCCCTCCTGCAGCCCCCACCGTTGTCGCGGCCACACAATGAAACTGAGCCATTCACCGGAACCCCGCGTCCTCTTGGCATGGGAGGGCTGCCAGCACCCTGGCCGTGTAGGCAGTATTTGTAATATTCGTTGAACGAATGACAAGTAGACTGTCAGCGTAAGTTATGATAGGACGAAATGCAGACGATTCAGGCCAACACCCATAGAGGTAGCCTTTCGATGATTGCACGCCATGTCGTATTCTGCCATCTTTTGCAGTGTACTTGGAATTCTCTTTGCTGGTGGTGAGTCATTTTTTTTTACTTTACTTCTTTCGTGGCCTCCTTTCGCGCAGCTGATTCGAGGCCTCAGGCAGAGTCAGGCTCCAGTGATTCTATACGGTACAGCTGACATCGACAAGTGTATTTCACATCTTAAAAGAATCAGACCTTCGGCGTGCCGCTCTGCTTTCCAAGCGACGTCGTCAAATTAAAGATTAGATAGAGTTGACAAAGTTCTGATTAGTGTCGCACGTCAAGGGAATTCGCTACACTTTGAATTTGATGATCGAGCTACTTGACGTGTGTATGTACCGTACCGTACGCTGTATGGCCATACGTGTGACCGTGACTATGACCGTCACTTGTATGTATCTATACCGCGGTCACAAAACTTGACAACTCGACAACTTCTTGATATGCTGATAGAAACAGATAATTAACATAAAGAAAGCGTATCGCAAATGCTAAAGAACTCCGAATAATGGAATCATCAACCCATCGATGCCGATTCAGAACCGAACCCCGCTTTCGTCCCCACGTACTCCGCAATCTGGAAGAAACATGCACTGTAACTAACTGTAACGAGCTCTCGAAAACAAATCCCGAATTAAAAGACCTTAGAAGCAAATATAATAAAAAAAAGGAAAAAAGAAATTCATCCCAGCTAAGAAAACAGAACCATACTCGCACTCACACAAGTCTGAGAAACCCCTCGCCTTTTTTTTTGTTTTGTTTTTGTATTCCACGGTAAGTCACAAACATACCTCGTAGATAGCGTCATAAATCATAAAAAACAGCCATAAGAAAATAGAAGATAGAAAGTATCACGCGAAGAAAAAAAGATATGAAATGACTCCATCTTGCACAGGTAGAATTGTCGAGTATGACCACAGTCCCAGCCCGGAGGAAGGCCGCTGCTGGGGCTGCCCGTTGTATCATTAGGACAGGACTGGTCGGTTCAGTTGTATGGTTCTCTGATCTTCAGATATATCTCCTCATAAAAGTCGTTTGCTTCATGCCCCTCCGTATCATTTGCATCTCCATTGTCCTGACGCACGGCCAGAATGCCTCGGGTTGCGAGAGTGAGCACGTGCATGAGCCCTTGAGTGGCGACAGTACGAGTCGTCTTCTCTGGGGGAAGAAGCATGGAGAAGGTGATTTCTTTCTTCGATCCAGGCGATTGGACATCCTCAGCGACTCCTTCCGCAGACTGTTCGGACTTGATGCGGTCTTTCAGGAATTCGAAG